TAGCATATATAGATTCATTACACATTTATTATTTTCAGTTTACATACTTCATAAATAATTCCAACTTCTAAATTAATAGTTAAATTATTTAACTTTCTTTTATATGAGTTAATTTCAAATTAACGTAATACATACATTAATCTAATAAATATAAATTTAGAATAATTATTTTGTGTTTAACATTAACTCCCATTTATATAAAATAAAAAAGGATTTTCCTTAATTTAACAAAATTAATTGTATTAAAAAATAGATTTATAAAAGATAAATTTACCTTAATTAATTACAATAAAATCTATTAAAAATTAATCCATTACTATAGTGTTTTATGAAAAAAAAAAATTAATCTATTATTATATTAATAATAAAAACATATTAATCTAGTTAAAAAATAATTAGATCTACCTCAACTTAAGAAATGTAGTGTTGCTTTTCGAAGTACTATATTAATCTATTAGTAAATTTAACAATTCTAATTATATAATAATTAATTTAATTTTACCTTAATAGATCTATCTGATCTGCCTCCTCGACTCACCAATCTCCCGTAGCCCGAATCGCCACTCGAACAGAAGACGCCAAATATTTTGACGAAATGTTCAATTTCTACTGAAAATATCAAACATTTTAACGTTTTCTTCAGAAACACAGCTTACGCTAAATTATTCTTCAACCAATCATCAGATAATAAAATCTAATAGCTCCTAAAATTTAATGTTGATTTTAGAATAAAATGATTAAACAACTAAGCAATTAGGGAAACAATAGACACCTTCTTTAAAGGCCCAAATGGGCCAGTCCACTACTTCTTAAAGTCCAAACCAACTAACTATGTGCAAGATGAGATTTTGTTGGGCCATATCAAAATGACCGCGGGCCTTGGGCTAACAAAGGATCTGGAAGCATCTCTACCTTTCTTCCCGCAATTTCATTTATTAGAAGTCTCTAGAATCTCATTCGCTGTTCCGACTCCATAAAACCCTTCTCCTCCTTCCCAGCACCGTCAGTCGGCTGCAGATAGCTTGTTCGGTCTCTGATCTGTTCGGCGATTGTTGTTGGAGGGAAGGAGGCGACAATGGATGACGACTTCGACTTTGGGACGGGAGGCGATGATGCGATGAACGAGGACATGGATCTTCCTGATGTCGATACGGCGCTCAAGGTCGGTGAGGAGAAGGAGATCGGGAACCAGGGACTTAAGAAGAAGCTGGTTAAGGGGGGAGATGGGTGGGAAACGCCCGAGGTCGGCGACGAGGTCGAGGGTATGTTGTCGCGCTTCTGAGTTTGCGTCCTTTGTTGAATTTCTTTCATTGTTTTTTTACATTTGCATCTTTTTTGAGCTTTCTGGTGATTAGGTTGTTGATTGATTTTTTTTTTTCTGATTATGCAGTGCATTACACTGGGACGCTACTGGATGGTACCAAGTTCGATTCCAGCCGCGATCGGGGGACGCCCTTTACATTTAAGCTTGGCCAAGGTGGGTATTTTTCTCCTGTTTGAATTTTTAAGACAAGCGTCTTATGCGATTTATCGTGCAGGCTGATTTTGCTTTGATTCGTGTTGTCAACATGTTAAAATGCTAAGTGGGATGTTGGGGTTGTATGTGGTAGTAATTTAGCCGTTTAGTCGGTGTGAAGCTTTTGAACTTATTGGAACCTTTTGCTTTTTTTAGGGAGCTTTATTGGTTATTTGATTCTGTTAAAAAAAAAAATGTTGCTTGGATTCAATACAATTAATCTTCTAATACATTAACTGGTTTCTTTATTATGCATTGTCAAGTAATGAATTGATTCAGTCCCAGCTATTTAGATGGCCCAAATAATTGTTTATTGTTTCAGTATTTTGCGGTCTGAATTCTTAATTTTGGGGCCAAAAACTCAAAGTTAATGCATCCTATGCTGAGATTTATTTGTAGGAGATGTGTGGTGGCTTATTCGTAGGAGTTGTGTGAAATAGTTGGTTAAAATGACTTGCTGTGAAGTGAAATCAATGAATCTAAATGAAAATAAGCAAAAAAAATTTTAATTTTACTGCATTGGGCATAACTTTGATGCATATTTTACAGCCAATTAAGTGCTCCTTCATTTAATAGTATTTTTATTGGATCCAAATGCACTTACAATAGATTTGAGTTTGATAAGCTATTTTCTCCTTGAGTAACCTTGGATTAGCTGATATATTTTCACCATATCAGCCCTTTCTTAACACAGCTTGTTCCGCAATTCAAATATTTGATGCTTCATGTAACTTTGTGATATTATCCTGTTGCATTTACGGTTCTTTTGGTTTAATTTGATAGTCTGACTTTTATTGGTACTATGTTTAAGTCTTGTGCTGTCAGTGCTGATTACATTAAATTTTGTATGTTATTAATTTCAGGTCAAGTTATTAAGGGATGGGACCAAGGTATCAAGACAATGAAGAAGGGAGAAAATGCCATTTTCACTATTCCCCCTGAGCTTGCTTATGGGGAGTCTGGTTCCCCTCCAACAATTCCCCCCAATGCTACACTAAAGTTTGATGTGGAGTTGCTTTCTTGGTCTAGTGTCAAGGATATATGTAAGGATGGGGGTATCTTCAAAAAGATCTTGAAGGAGGGGGAGAAATGGGAGAATCCAAAGGATCTTGATGAAGTTCTTGGTATGAGGCGGTACTTTTGTGCTTGTTAAATGCTTTTGACTTTGCCTATTGAATGTGGAAGCTGAAATTAATTTAATTTGTGCAGTAAAATATGAAGCTAGTCTTGAGGACGGCACTGTGATATCTAAAGTTGAGGAAGCTGAGTTCACTGTTAAAGATGGTTGGTTTTTGTATTTTACCTTATTTTTTGTTATACAATATTGTAGAAGACATTGAAGTTTAATTCTCTTAACGATGATATAATGTTGGAGTCAGGGTTCTTCTGCCCTGCTCTTTCCAAAGCTGTCAAGACCATGAAGAAGGGTGAAAAGGTGCTTCTTACCGTGAAGCCACAATGTGAGTCCTAATCTAAGTTTGATCAATTCAAAACGCATCTGAATTTCTTTGTTTTTAGTTGACATAATTCTTATGGACAGATGGGTTTGGTGAAAAGGGTAGGCCTTCTTCTGGTGAAGAAGGCGCTGTACCTCCTAATGCAACCTTGTTAATTGAACTTGAACTTATTTCATGGAAGACTGTCACAGAGATTGGTGATGATAAGAAAGTCCTAAAGAAAATCCTTAAAGAGGGAGCAGGGTATGAAAAGCCTAATGAGGGGGCAATTGTGAAAGGTACTATTTTTCTGTTCATTTCATTGGTCACTTAATCTATCTGGTTAATTGTAGGAAGTTTCTGTTCTAATTTGTTAAAATTTTTTCTTGAAGTGAAATTTACTGGAAAGCTGCAAGATGGGACTGTGTTTTCAAAGAAGGGTCAGGATGAAGAACCATTTGAGTTCAGAACTGATGAAGGTTTAATTGAAAACTCAATCAATTTTCTTCCTCTTTATAATTAATTTTACTCATATTTATCTGGAGTTGCTTTTGGCTGATGTGTGCAGACGAAGTAATTGAAGGATTAGATCGAGCTGTCCTAACCATGAAGAATGGAGAATTTGCTCTTGTGACCATTCCACCAGAACATGCCTTCGGTTCCACTGAATCAAAGCAGGATCTTGCTGTAGTTCCTCCGAACTCAACTGTTATTTATGAAGTGGAGCTAGTGTCATTTGTGAAGGTTTTTCTATACCTCCTACAGAGAATTTTCAAGTATCTCTGGTTATGGTTTTCTGTGTGATTACAATGATAATATCAACCCTGCTCCCTTCTAGGATAAAGAGTCTTGGGACATGAATAATGCGGAGAAGATCGAAGCTGCTGCAAAGAAGAAGGAAGAAGGAAATGCATTGTTCAAAGTGGGAAAATATGCTAAAGCCTCAAAGAGATATGAGAAGGTATAGCCATATCTCACTCTTTTCAGCATTGTCTGCTTCAATATTAGTTACCGATAAATGATTTTGACAAAACCAGGGTGCTAAGCTCATAGAGTATGATAGCTCATTCAGTGAAGAGGAAAAGAAGCAGTCCAAGGCATTGAAGGTTACCTGCAACCTTAACAATGCAGCCTGCAAGCTAAAGCTTAAGGACTACAAGGAGGCAGAGAAGCTCTGTACCAAGGTATGCGAATGCAGTCGTTTTGCATATTTTTGAAGGGATGAGAGGCTAAATGATGGGGGAATGGCTATCTTTTTAGGTGCTTGAGGCAGAAAATACAAATGTCAAAGCCCTTTATAGAAGAGCACAAGCTTACATTCAAACTGCAGATCTGGATCTAGCGGAGTTGGACATCAAGAAAGCACTTGAGATTGATCCTGATAACAGGTATATAGTTGAACTGCTTTCCATCCACTTCCTTTCAATATTTAACAAAAGTTGGTCAAGTGATATTAAGGATAATAATTATAAAAATTGAAGGTTAGTGGTCATGGATTTCATTATAATGTACGTGGTGTTGCTGATAGAAGAGAATTAGTTGAAATGACACAAGTGCAATAATATCTAAAAAATGATATAGTTGCAAATAGAATAATAAGAAATTTGTTCGACCTCACAAGCTTAAGAAATTGGTAAATAAGATTTTGGCTCACAAGCTTGTAGGAGGACTTTGCTTGATGACCTAAAAAATGGCAATGGGAAAGTTCCCATCAAGGAGAAATTATTCTATGTGGAGACCGGATGTAGAATGTCGTCCGGAGATCAACTAGAATGCGCCATGTCAGCGGTATTGAGCCGCGGTATCGAACAAATGGGTGATGTGGCGCATTCTGGTTGGTCTCCGGATGGTGTTTAGTGTTTGCACAGAATAATTAATCCCGGAAAGAGAGATTTTGATAGGGTGAAATTTTGAGTTTCAAGGGCGAAGAATATAATTGAAATCAAGAGAGTTTTTGAATTTTATCCATTCATATAGTTCTAGAAATCTCTCACAAAATATCCTGAACACTCTTATAAAGCTGAAATGTTAAGAACATTATTCTTAAGGGTGTGGCGTTACTTTGATGCAGGGATATAAAGCTGGAATACAGGACCTTGAAGGAGAAAATGAAAGAGTACAACAAAAAAGACGCCAAATTTTATGGTAATATGTTCGCCAAGATGAAGAGGTTGGAACCTGCTGCGGAGTCCAATGTAAGTAACTCTTACCATTATGATACATATACTATAATCAACTTCTGTGAGGTTATTTTAGCTGTTCAATTTACTTATATGATTGCAGAAATCTGAAGGGCAGAAGTTGCAGGAAAGCGAACCCATGAGCGTAGACAGTGCTGCTTGATCTTTTTCATCAAAACAATTCAAAGGGGGGATTATCTTATTATCTTTTGCCTGGTTCCATCTTTTATTTCCTATTATTCTGAACTCAAAATACTGAAATTTAGCCGGCTACCAACGAGTATATGAGGCGTTCAATGTAGAAAATTATATTATATGCGTTTGGTTTATGGTTTCTGGCTTGGAACAATCTTTTGATGTTGTTCTTGGTGCTTTATTTGTTTGTGGCTGATCATTTTCTCCTGTGGATTTAGGGTTTGTTAACCTGAAGAGAATGTCGAATTGAAATCAGTAAACATCAAGTGGCGCTGATGCTTCTCTTATTTACTTGTTGGGTAAGTTGTAGTACTGTTTGCTATAGGCATTATGTTGATACTCAAAAAATGGTTTGTTGGGTTTGTCAATTGATTTCAGTTACAATTGATGATTTTGGCTAAGTTTAAAAGTAGTTTTTTAGTTAAATTTTTTTAATATTTATAGTAAAAAAGTTGTTTTAAGACATTAAAAAAGCTTTCCCAAACAAAACTTTGGAGTTGATGAAATAGTCAAGTTTGAAAATGAAGAATAAATTTTGGAATTTGATTAGTGTAAAATAAATGTGAGAAAGTATAGATGATATGTTTGTTTTTGTTTGATTTGAAGTAAAATAAATATAGTGTAAAGTTTGAAGATGGTGGTAGAAGTGAATGATAGTGATTAGTGATGGTGGAGGTAGTTAATGATTGATGTTTAGTGGTCAATTGTGGTGGTAGTGATTGTGGGAGCTAGTGGCACAGGTGGGCGGTGATAGTGATTAGTGATGATAGTCAATGATGGATGACAAAGAATGGATGTCGTTTGATTAATTGCTAATTGCCCAAATGCTAGATTAATCATTAAACCTCTTTTGTCATGTTGAAAGAACACTAATATTGTAGTTGATTATTTTGGGTGTATTTTTTGAAGATGCTTAGATGTACTCTAAGATTAAGTCAAAGGTTTAAGATAAGGTTGGAGCTGAGAGAGTCGTCTTAGATGACTTGATTATATAAAATTGTGGCCCTTTGATGACCTGATTAGGAATAAATGTGTTAGATTTGACTTATGTTAGGAAAGGTAGAAATAGAGCTAAATAGGTTTGGTTGGAATGGAAAATATTAAAGCTAATCTTTATTAGATTTATTATTATTATTAGATTTAAATGATAATTTGATTTTTAAGAGGATATTATGAATATAAATGATTTATGTGGCTGATTTCAAAATAGTGGGATATGGGTTTTACGTTGTTATTGATATTAATAATTATTAAAAAAAATTTTTGATAAAAGTATACATTTGTAATTCATGTGTAAAGAACCAATAAAAAACCAAGAATTTTTATGTGGATGAGTTCAAAGAAGGGTGGCAAACAAGCTAACAACAACTATTATTAATGGTGCTAATATTTGAAGGTGTGTGATCTTATTTTCATGAAATAAGTGTTACAAAGAAAACCAATTTTTAGGGGTGTTTAAATCGATTGATGAGTCAGCTTTTGGTTCAATTTAAAATTAATTTGATTTGAATTTAATTAGCTCAAATTTGACTCGTTCAATTTGAACCCGGCTTGCTAGCAATTTGAATAACTTGAATGACCTATTAAGTTATTTTGGTTTTTAAAAAATATTTAATTATAAAGTTTAAAATATTTTATTCAAAATAAAAAGATTATACACTGAAGTAAATAAGTCAAAATATTTAACCAAAATTTGACTCGTTTAATAAATAAATGGGTTAATGAACCTTAATGTTCAAGAACAAGTTCGAAAATTATTTATTGACGCCCTGCCAACCATTACATTGGCTTTTGGCAATAAGTTTTATGATAATACTCAAATCATTTAAAAAAAAATATTCTCATTCAGAAACTCCAAAGCATATCGCCACAACAAGTCTAGAACTTACAGATCTTCATCTCCTTCTGTATTCTTATCGCTGGTTAAAGTTTTTCCATTGACAGCTACAAGTTCAGTATCAAAAACCAGTGTGGCTCCTCCTGTAATTTTTCATAAAAATCTCAGCATAAACAGATAATTCTGAGTGCATTCAGTGCTAATGGGGAGTTAATTCTCTTTACCAGGGATCTTGGGAGGGGATCCTTGGGCGCCATAGCCAAGCTTTGCAGGGATCTTTAGCTTCCTTTTCTCACCAATGCACATACGAAGCAGCCCTTGGTCCCAACCTATTGCAGAAAGTCAAGATGCTAACTACTGCAAATTGCTTGCTCAAGATTGGGAAAAATTATTACGCGCGGGTCCGGATTTGTCTTGTCTGGAGACCAATAAAAATATGCCATGTCCCCCCAAAAAACATACGCGCTCGGTACTCGGTACCGCTCGGTACTCGAGCGCAAAACCGGACGGTTCTCCCATCTGGTGTCCCCACAGAATAATCTCCCCAAAAGTGGGGGCTCTTAAGCCTAACGCTTGGTTTCAACAAGCTGGCAGTCGAGGACATGAACCCAATGATGCCTGGAACTAAGTTAGCTGGGCCAAGGGGCAAATTATTCTGTGCGGACACTGAATGTTGTTCAGAGACAAATTAGAATGCGCCACCTCACCACCGCTCAGTACTGCGGCTCGGTACCGTGCTTGGTACTGCTGACGTGGTATATTTTGGTTGGTCTCCGCATGATGAATTAGGTTCGGCGTCCGCACAGAATAATTTCTCGGGCCAAGGGGCAAATTATTCTGTGCGGACACTGAATGTTGTTTAGAGACAAATTAGAATGCGCCACCTCACCACCGCTCAGTACTGCGGCTTGGTACCGTGCTTGGTATTGCTGACGTGGCATATTTTGGTTGGTCTCCGGAGGATGAATTAGGTTTGGCATCCGTACAGAATAATTTCTCGGGCCAAGGGGGGGTGCAAACAACTGACTTCGCCGGGTGGATAGGTGTTAGCTTTTTTGTGCATATAAGTAGATTATATATAGGCAATCAATATTGCTGGTCGGTCTCTCAACAACCTGCCATACTCTAACATGGCATACATTATTAATATTGAAGTGTAAATTAACAACATAAAATGCAGCATTGTAAAGTTTGGTTCGATCAAAACTTAGAAAGTTTAGCCAGATTACAATAACCCACTATACTTTAAACTAGCTAAAATAACTAAGCAAATAATACAAAAGTTTAAGGATTAAGTAACAGGACAATGGGATTATTCATAGTGATGAGTCCAAAACTCTCCGGGATGCCGACATATTTATAAAAATATCAATGAGATAACTGAAAAAGGAAGAAAAACAAAAAGTTTTGAAGAGTTTTTGGATTTAAAAACCAAGTAATTAAAATTAGCCTGAACACAAGTAAACAACAAGCTTAAAAATGAAAGATTTAAAAATTGGCCAACACCTTTTCTCCTAGAATCTCCAAACAATTAATTGGGAGATTGCATCTCAACACTAATCATCCAGGCCATCATGATCTTGGCCATTGTCTTCCTGAGCATCATGATCAGGAGGAGCTGATGTAGGCCTAATTGTAGTACCTAACCAACAGCATTGAACTCTCCCTCATGATGACTTCTTATGCAAGTATAATATCAAGATAATATGAATGGTATAATATCATTTCAGAGTCATAAAATAACCTAAGATTGATAATCCAAATCATTCAACAAAAATATCTTATTGTTGACCCATACAACGAAATGTGCGCAAAAGAAGCGAAATTGGCAACTCAAATGACAGTAGGTGGGCGCGACGTGTCATTTCAAAGGTCAAATGATCTCCGATCGTCAAACGAATTGCGTTGTTGCAATCGGAGCATCGAATTTACCTAAGCGAGACCACTTTGCAGTCAAATTCGACGAGACTAGTCAATTTTAGCGACTGATGCCCAAAAATGACTCGTGAAGCTGCTCAAACAATGTCCGATCACAAAACAAACTTTGCAGTTTCGTTCGAAACGTCTAAGTCGTCTAAAAATTGCTATAATTTCGCTTGACAAAAACCGCGCCAGTAGATCGGCAAGGTTTTTGAGACGACAGTGCGAATTTTCGGAGCCCACACTTATACTATATATATGCCTTGGACAACAGTGCGAGCACAAATTACTTTTATGATGGCCCACATAGTCCTACTCACTAATTCTTTGATTCCTTGTCAATCAACCTTAGCTACTTAGAAGCACATTCTACCTCTTAAGCATTTTTCGATGGGAGGTTAGCGTTGATCAATTATAAGAAAAGTGCATCCTCAAGGCTCTGTGGCATTTTTATGGGCAAATTGACCAACAATTTTGTTGATCAGATTGTTGGTTGCTTTAACTTGAGGATTGACATAATACTGAGAGCTAACATTAGCCTTAATTTGTGGATATCAACTATTTCCCGGAACATTCAGAAAATGTTGAGTCTAAAATAAGCAAGAAACCGATCAAAATCATAGAAGAGGCCACATGAGAACTGAAATTGACTTCTAGAGTTCAAGCCACAACCCCATGGCAAAGGAAACTGCATCACCAATGTCCTTACTAGTTGGAGCTAAGCTCACTTTGTTAACGGTCTCTTGCTCTATTATGGTACCCCTTTGACCATTGCAATGGGCTCTCTGCCACAATAGTAAAAATGATAGGCAGTTGAAGGAATAGGAATATATATTACAAATCTAAGTAAAATCTCAAAGCAAGCTATAAGAATGCAAAATAAAGAAAAAGGTAAAACTTACCTTTTTAAGTGGCAACTATAGAGCATTGGGAGTTTAGGAAAATATGGAGGAGGTTGCATCTCCTTTCCTCACTCAGAATTGGAACTTTTTATGCATAAAAAGCAACCAACTTGATCCCTGGTTGTAAGAGATTACATGCACATATCTGAGAAGTTGAAGAGATGAAATAAGTTTTGTTTGCTTTCAATGTCTATTATGGAAACATGGGCTCAAACGTAAAGGGAATTTATACGGGTGATAGATTTTTCTCTATTCAAAAGGCATCATTGCCATCAGATTAATTTCACATGGCGATGTTGAAACTTTAAGTGCAAATCATGTTCTGACAATCTGAGGCCCTTTTCTTGATTACTATGAATCGATGTCTGGGAACATGAACTTGATAACACCCTAGGAACTACAGCATGGTAGGAGCCGAGGATGCTAACTTGGTAATAGCTGGGATGATGCGGACATCCAACTGTCCATGCCTATCCGAGGAGCTGAAGATCAACGGCCGAGATCCCTTCATTTTATCTTATTTTATTAATTGTAATTTTTATTTAATTATGCATTTTTCTTTTTTTACCCTTACTTAAGGGATTTGTTTTATGTAAGCCCAAGGGGCAAAATTGTCTTTTAGTTTCTTTTAAGGCTTATATATAGAGGCCTTTGCTCTTGTATTAGGATT